ACCGAGTAAGATAGCCCTTTTAAGGATTTGCCAGCAAATGAGATCCTCAAACTTCTGCACATGGGCCTTTGTCAAAGGAATTGGTGGGAAGAAATCAGACAGCTGAGAACGCTCATCAGACACATAACCCACAGCACAAATACCATATGTCTTTAGGCTCCTGCCTGTCAAATCCATCTTTACCCTGCGCTGATAAGTGGAGCAGGGCTGGCAATGATTTCTACAGGCCTCAAGATTTTCTGAACCATTCTCTTAAGGCTTATCTGTTGATGATAAAAGAATAAATCATGATCGTCAGGAAAGCATAGCTGGCAGGAGAGCAGCTGGCCCCACGACAATTGGTGGCACCGTAAGATTCTTCACCTCTGCTCTTTTGCAGACATCATTGGGCAGGAAGGGGAATCTTCTTGGTACCAGGAGAACCGTTTTTCTTATAACCTTGCTCCAGAAAGATAAATGCAGACAGGCCAAGCACACAGGAAGAAGACATGGGCAGCCAAAGCAGCACACAAAAAGCAAGGTAGATATCGCCTCCACGTAGCAAGGAGGATGAGGGAGGGCTGTTCTCTCTGGGCTGTGGGATCCCTTCCCAAGACCCGAGACAGAGGTACAGAGATAACAAGGAGATAACTACTCCCAGTGTATTAGACACAGCAGGGAAACAGGCTGCAGCCCAGGCTCCCTGAAAGAGTTCATCTCAAGCGAACAAAACAGGCATTATGAAAGCAGTAGGGGAAGAGTGAGGACTCGTCTTTCCCTTTCAAACACAGCTCCTCAAAGAAAGGACAATAGTGAGTTGATAAATGCAACTAATTGTGAGACTTCAGGAAGTGTGTAAGTGCATCCCTTAAGACTGAAAGGGAAGGAACTTGAGGGGCTTTGGCTGACCTCAAGGGTAACCACCAGGCTGTTTGTTGCTTAAGCAAACAGAATAATGTATTGCTTAGTAAGTCATCTAGGTGTTGCCAACTATCCACCCCTCTCAGCATCTAACCACACATGAAGTTTTTGAATTACTGTGATTAGACACAGAAAAAAGGGGGGATGCCTGAACTGTGAAAGCAGGGGTCAGGATCTTTTGGCTTCTCTCCAAATGGAAAAATATTAAATCTGTTATTCAGGGTCCATTGCCATCTAGCAGGGGCCCTTACCTGCCCAGGGCTGGGGCACTGTACTGGCTGGGAAAGGTGATGGCAGAAGAACTGGGGGGAGTGAGAAAAGGGACAATGGGAGAAAGCAGAAGACAATTCTGAGATAATGGCTTCCGGACAGCCACACTCCCTCACTTCCTGGAGTATAGAAACACATAGGGATATGTATGTAAATGTATCAGGGGCCAGGGCTCTCAATGGCTTCTCAAGGCAGCCAGAGCACTTTGCTGAAAAGGTTGAATTTCTGGTATTGGTTTTCCACATCGAGTGGCACCATCTTGCAATTATTTCCTCCTTTGTTCATCAATTTAGGTTCTTGGGACTGTTGCCGATAGTAGTGAAGAAAAGAGGCTGAATACTCAAATAGACCAATGGCTAACATTTATAATGGGGAATAAGGATGGCAAGGTCAGATGGGAATGATTTCCACTTCTCTCTCTTTCATCTCCTCTAGGGATGTGTTTGACCCTTCCCACTATCATTGAGCTGCCTGTTTCCCTTTCTTCTCTTAACTCCCAGCAAAAGTATCTTCTCAGCTCAGGCCAGAGGCAGGTTACCCTAGAGGGGAAGCCTGAAACCTTTAGGGGAGAGAAGAGACACCAAAGGAAAAATTATCAGAGGCAGCCCCCAGGCTCTCCTCCTTTGCTCTATCAATAGCCCTTCTCCATTAGACACCATTATAGTCCCACCCACAACAACTCAATCTTTCTTCTTCCACTGCCAAGATGTGACCCACTTACTTGGCATCAGGGGTGTTTACTTAGTGGCTCTGATCCCCACTGACTCACCTGGTCTGTGGAACCCTTTGGAACATTCTTAATCAGATCTTTTTCCCCCCGACACCTCCCTTTGCAACCCAGTAAAACTCAGTTCCAGAGGACTGCACAGCAGTCTTTCCTTCTTGTTTCTGATGGGCTTCAATTCCACATCCTGCCAGGAGTACTAGGATTGAAGTCCAGCTGGAGTTCCAGAAGCATTGGCAATAGAGGGTATGAGTGGGCCACACTCATTATGTAGTGGAGAAAATTCCAAATTAGATCAGTCACAGACATTAGCTGGCCTCGCTCAAGCTGAGTTCCTAAACATGATTGGGAAGAAGCATCACCATAGAGACGAGTCAACTGTCGCTGCTCCTAATGGCCAGACCTAATGCACCTGTGCCCGCACAGCTTCCTCGGACATCGACTTTAGGGGAGAAACGCAGACTGTACTATGAGCATTTGAGAACCATTAGGCTCAGTTTTTAAATATATTTCAGTTTGTATAATTGATCTGGATTATTCTATCCCAACATCGTATCTTTGTCTGCCAAGCTTATGTGTACTCAACATGTGCCCAGAGCATTTCTCAGAGAAACTGGAGGCCTTCCCTTGCCTCACACCAGCTCACACTACCAGAACTGCATCTGGAACTCGAAGGTCTTAACTTCCTTTCCTGAACTTTCCGGGCTTCACAAAGAGGTGTATGAGAGAAGGCCATCAAATGCTAGAGAGTCTTCTCACCTGGTTAATGGTCCACATATTCACATCAAGTTAAACTTTTTTTCTAAAGAAATAAAAGTCAACAGATCAGAACAAAGGTGACAAATCAACAAGAGCTTTTTAAGCAGAATCATATATTTTTAAAGTCAAGATATTGAAGTATAATTTAAGTTATATGAGTTTTTTAATTTGTGGGGATGTTTTTTAGTTTGTACATTTAAAAAATTTTTAATTGTGGTAAAATACACATAAAATTTACTATCTTAACCATTTTTTATGTACGGTTCAGTAGTGTTAAGTACATTTACATTGTTGTACATCCAATCTCCAGAACTCTTCTCATCTTGCAAAACTGAAATTCTGTACCCATTAAACAACAGCTCCTCATTCCCCTCTGCCCCCAGTCCCTGGCAGCCACCATTTTACTTTCTGCCTCTATGAACTTGATCCTCATATAAATGGAATCATACAGTATTCATCTTTTTGTGATTGGCTTATTTCACTTAGCACAATGTCTTCAACATTCATCATGCGTTGGAATTTCCTTCCTTTTAAAGGCTTCCTTCCTTTTAATATTCCATTGTATGGAATATTATTTTGTCTATTCTCCATCAATGGACATTTGGATAGCTTCCACCTTTTGACTGTTATGAATAATACTGCTATGAACATGGGTGTGCAAATATCTTTTCAAAACCCTGATTTCTATAATTTGTGTCCTTTAAAACGGAGTGAGGGAATGATCCTAGAAGTAGTCCATGTTCCATGGTTTTACACTTTTTACCATTTGGAAAAAATCAGGAATGCAGCACTAATTTCCCAGGTAATGTCTTTATCACTTTTTAGCATGCTGACTTTTCAAGGGCTTCTTGTGCTGTTCTTCAGCAACATGTGAGTGCTTTGAGAATTGCCGTTAAATAGAAAGTAGCAGCAGTTCAGTTATATCTCAGTGATAGGGACCCTCTCTCTGATCAAGGGCAGAATCGTCAGTGACTTGGCGTATTGCTAAAAACCACTGTTCCGGTTTTGCCTCCCATGGGACTTGAAGCCCTACACCACCCTTCCTCAGGCCAGGAAAGCACGTGGTCCTAGGGTGAAGTCGGAGAAGCCCGGCAACAATCTGCTCTACCACTGAGTGCCTTCTCACTGGCAAAGACCTATAAATAACGTCTGTGATCCTGTTTCAAAGTCGGAAAAGGGGCAGGGTCTGAGGGGTTGCTGAAATGATTTCATGAACAAATGGATCAAAGGAATGATCTATGAATGAATCTTAAAGAAGGGAGCCAGCCAGCCAGCCATGTGGACAAATAAGATCCCTCTTCGCCAAAACCAGCCTCTCTTTCATGCCCTACATTGTCTGCAGGCGTGTATAAGCCATATTCTAGATCATTTGGCATTCAAATAGCTACATCGGTTCAGAGATGATTAGGGGGCTGAAGTGTTAGTGTTCGGCCCTCCTGCAAAGAGGAAGGGAAATCTAGTTCAGGAATCAAAGCAAAGCTTATTCATCTCATTTTTTAAAACCAGAGACAGAGTTCGTTACAGCCCCCCAGACACAGGGTCCTCCAGCATTAAATGCACAGAAATCAAATGCATATCCATTACAGGAGAAATAGCAGGGAAGTGGGGCTAAGGTGACAGATTCTGAAGAGCAAACATACACCTTTGTGCTCTGTCTTCTTAAAATTCATTCTCTCACCTGCCAGCCTTGAGAATTGCCTATTTACATAACTAGCTGCCTAAAATGGAATATTAGATAATGTTACATGGCGGCTCACTCAATTTGAGCCCATCCCCAGGATATGAGAGTGATCCAGGAGTCCTCCGACAGCATGCAGCGTGGCACGCTGGCCTGCAGCCATGCCTCCCCGTGGCATGAGCCTGTCAGCACTCCTGAGCTAAGCAGATGTCAGGCCCAATCGCCGGGTGGGAGACCAGCTGAGCAGCAGGGGGAAGGGGTGTGATTCAGCAAGTGGCACGGTGGCACACCATCTTCAGAGCACAAACAGCATCTCTTCCTGAGCTTCACAGCAGGCACCTTGTTCTTCCCAAGGTGCTGTCTCCGAGACAGCCGACATATAAGAACTGAGAAGGGGGAGCTGCAGGATCTATGGAGACAACGGGTACGGGAGGTAATCAGTCAGCTCCGATGCCATCCCTGGCACTGCGCCAGCCTCGCACCCCCTGTTGGTCCTTTGCAAGGCACAAATCTCACTCCCATCAAAACTGGAATCATGCTGCTAGCTTATAGGAGGAGTATAAATAAGTGATAAGGAAGTGTTCTGATAATGATAAGAGAGTATAGCTTCTCAGCAAACCAGATGCATCAAAGAAAGCAATTGTGCATGTTTGTTCATTTATTTTTCAGTGTTCCGGTTCCTGTAGTCAGTTTAGAGAAAATTCCTAACCTAGTGAAGGCAGATGGTGCCAATGTCAAAATGAACTCTACAACCACTGCTGCGGTCACCGCCTGTTCCACCTCGTCCTCGGCTGTCTCCACCCCACCCTTGATTAAGCCGGTCTTGATGTCCAAGTCAGTGCCACCTTCCCCAGAGAAGATCTTAAATGGCAAAGGAATTTTGTCCTCCACACTAGACAAGAAACACCAAAACGGCACCAAAAACAACAACAAGCCTTACAGGAGACTTTCAGGTATGTGTCTGTCCTTTGAGTCTGGCTCATGATTAGACTGAAATTGAGTCACATCCATAACCAAGGGAGTGATGTGTTCTTATAATTCAGCAGGTCTGTTTCGTCTTAAGGGGGACGTGGAGTTTACCTGCAAACAGGGCCCCACTTGAAAATGCCAGTGAGAGCCTGTTCTCATTCCCGGGCCAGACGAGGCTTGGTGCTCAGCGGGCGTTACCCCTAGTGACCCAGGAGGCAGGATGCTCTGCACCAGCCACAGCAGTCCACAGGTCCCACGGTCGTGTCGCCATGCTGTCAGGCTGAACTGCCCCTGGGTTTTATAGACACCTCCCTACCACAAAGTCAGACAACCCACAGCGACATCTCATAGTAGCTCAGGGCCGGCTTGGGACAGTCCCCTTGGTGACTGCCCCACAGAAAAGCATGACCTCTCTCCTTTGGCTTGATTGCTTTCCAGGTTGATTATGTGGTCTGTGTCTACAACTGCCTTTCCCACATAACCGGTTGGGATTTCTATTTGGGAATGCTCAGGCTAGCACAGCAGATGAGATATTGGGGAGTATCCCTTAGATGTACCCCTTGATTATCTGAACAGGCTCGTGGGGTACCCGAAAGGTGTACATGGCCAGCCTTTGAGGAGATGATTGCCTTTAGGGGCCCCCACGTGGGTGACATTTGCCTTGAATTTGTTGTAAAACTAAATCTAGCAGTTCTGCTTTTTCCAAAAGACCAAAATATGCTTCACAATTAATTCACACACCGTGGACATTTATCTAATGTTGACCAGAAAAAAAGAAAATATTGCGAGAAAGAAAATATTGTGAGAAAGTAACTATGTTTTCTGGTGTGAGCATGCTTATTAAGTACCCCAAAATTGTGGGTCATTTTTATTTTCTACTTCATATTTTTTTGTATTTCAGTTTTTCTATCTTATATCTGTAACTTTTTAAAAAAGTTATTCTAAAAATACCTCAGGCCCTAAGCATTGAAATGATACTGGTATTATACCTTGAAAATCTCTCCATGTACTGCTCACCCATTATCAAGGAAGGTAGAGCCCACTGCTCTCTTTGAGCATCATGGGGCCTCCCTGTGCGGATAGGGGCCCCCGCGTCCTCCTGGCTCTCCCCCTGCTGGGAACATTCAGTTTCACTCTACAGAGGTGGGGGGCAGCATCCCTGGAAAAACCAGTGGGCCTGGCTGGGCACAATGCCCAGAGGCCGTGGTTCCTTGTCATGGTACAAACATGACCATGGCTTTCAGTCTGCTCCCCAATCTGAAGTCGTTTGGGGATTTTTTGCTATTTGTTGGTTTTGCATTTTGTTGATTGTTTCGTCTCATTGGGTCTTTCGCTTGTTTCTGTCTCGCTTTCACATTTGGCAGCAGCTCTTACTCTAGCCAAACAACCTGCTCAGTTCCCTGCCAGCATGAGGTCGGGTGTGGATCTGGGCACGGGTATGACTGACAGGCCCAAGGGAAGGGCAGCCTGGGGCCTGGCACCCAGGCACTCCTCAGTGGGCTGACAGGGCTCATAGGAAATGGGCATCACCAGGTCTAGCCATTTTCTATTCTTAAAAGTGAAGCTTTTAAAAAAAAAAGAAGAAGAAGAAAAAGAGAAGGAAGAAGAAGGAAGAAAACAAAAGGGGCAGGAGGCATTTTGATAGCCAACCAGGGAATCTGTCATGGAAATAAGAATGGTTTTGTTGCATACTTATCATTACCACCATCTCAACCACCCCATGATCCCCAAATCTTCCTTCAAAAATAGAACACATTAATTTATTATGCTCAGAGTTTACCCCACCAATTTCAGACACATTTTCAGGCTAGGTAACCTCTTTTTTATTTGCAGCTATTCAAGACTCTTAAGGACACCACCAAATTTATACTTACCCCTCACCCACCCACCAACATTCTCCCTGAATGCCCAGAAGA